ATGAGGTTCTAGGAAAGCTGCCCCCCCCCCCCCCCCACTCATTATGCAACTGCATCCTCCCATAAACAAAGATAGACCTGGCCGATCAAGCTCATGTTTTGTTCTCTTTGGCAATGTTTCACCAGCAAATCATGGCATTAGCTGCCCGTTTTGTACCTGTCTGGAAAAAGCAGTCTTCTGTTAAGGGGTGGTATTGTGTCATATCAAGGCTGTTTTCCACGGAAGTCTGGAAAAAGCAGTCTTCTGTTAAGGAAATGAGTGACACTGACTGCCTTTACATGCACTTAAGTAAGCAGGTCACCTTGCTGATAATTGTCTGTTTACACCAGTGACAGTTTCCTGGTTTTCTCCAGTCACATGCGCACAAGTGACCTTGGAACTTGACTTTTGCACATGTGCTCTTGGTGAAAGCTAATTAGAAACCTGGTTACATGCATACATGGCAGAAAAAATGGCATTCTCCGGGAGAAACCTACCTTGGGAAATCAGGATTCCCTAATCCCCTACCCCGATTATGGAAACCAGGTTTCCTGTTTACATGACAGATAAGAAATCCACTTTCTTGGGAAAACTGAATGTAACCTGGTTACTTAAAGATGGGGTTGGTGATTCTGGAAAACCCAAAAAGAGGAAGCTAGAATTTGAAAGTAGACAACTGAAAATCCCACCCTATCATTTTGACTTCTTTCCAAAGCCACTCCCCCGAAACACAATGTGCACTGCAACGCACACTGCCTGACTACTACAGATTTCGGTACAGTAACAACTATTAAAACATTGCAACACCCTGTGGGAGACTCTTGGCTCGTGCATTGAGTTCAAGGGTAAAGTGAGAGCAAGTAGGAGGTTAGGCTGCCAAGCAGATAGGCCGTCCATTTGTTTTTCCTGGTCAGGGCTCCTTTCAGCCCTGTAGCTGCCACAGATGGCCTTTTTTTCTTTATGTTGTCAGTGCATTTAATGTGTTCATTGTCATTGGGATGAAAAAAAATCAAGCTATGTAACAAAAAATGCTTCTGGAAGGAATCACCAGCCCTCTCCTTAAGTAGATGTAAAAGCAGTCACTGCCTTTGCTCCACCACTGACTATGTCTTAGTGCCTTGTTACTCTGTACAGTTAGCCTCATTTCAAACTGAGAGGTTGATTTCTTGGTGAGTAGAGAGCCAGAACGGGGATTGGACAGGCAGCCGCGGTGTACAGTGGCTTCAGAGAGTTTTCAGACTTCTTCACTTTTTCACACTTTATTGTTTTTAAGTGGATAAAATTGCCATTTTTTCTAATTCAGGCTATACTCAATAAATCATAATGACAAAGTGAAAACATGATTTTAGAAATATTATCAATTTATTGCTGGAGCACTCCACACTGTGGTCCAGTGCCTCCTCATTTGCTTTAATCTTGAGATGTGTCTAGAACTTGACTGGTGAACAGCTTAGAAAGGCGCACACCTGTGTGTGTTTAAGGTCCCACAGTTCACACTGCATGTCATGACCAAAATCAAGCCAAGAAATCCAGTAGATCAGGGTAAGGGATATAAAATCATTTTTAAAGGAGCACAGAAATGAAGGACGTTTGGATCCATCAGTCCACCCAAAGTGACTGACTGGACAAAAAAGGGCCTTGGTCAGAGACATGACCAAGGAGCCAACTGCCACCCTGCTGAGATGGGTGAACATCTCAGTAGCTCTCCATCAGTCACTGCTTTATGGTGGGGTGGCTAGACAGAAGACACCCGGGGTACGTTCAGACAACGTGCTGATGTGACTCACATCTGATCTTTTTTTTGGATGTGTCAACAAACCAAATTGGATTTTATTCATTTGAGATCTGGACCACTTCCATGTGGTCCTAGATCTGATTCAAATTCAATCTCTGACCATGTGACCACGGTCAGACTGGAATTCATGTGTTTTTTTTTTACCAGTCTCCTGCCTCTGCGCATATTGCCTGTTGTCATCATTCAGTGTTGGCTCCTCTTACACTGCTTAGAAAAAACATAAAGGAGACCAACAACAACAACATGAGTCACTGAAGAAACAAGGATGTTGAACATTTGTTGAATATTTATAGAGGAAATTCTGATCAACCCACACTGGAAGGAACATACCATTTTTTGAGGGAATTGCATAATATTACTGTCGCATAAATGAGGCTACATTTCAGTTGCATGTGTGGCAGTTTTGGCGCTCCACGCTGTTCATACTGGATTCAGATAAATATCACTTGCAAACATGAATGTGAACCATGAACAGAGAAGGATCATCCATCCACCCATTATCTATACCGCTTATCCCTGAACAGGGTCACGAGGGGCTGGAGCCAATCCCAGCTGACACTGGGCGACTGGGTGAGAGGCGGGGGCCACCCCAGACAGGGCGCCAGTCTATGACATGGCTGACATGTAGACAAACAACCACACATACCCACACTCATACTCATGTGGGAGGAAGCTGGAGTACCCGGAGAGAACCCGCGCAGGCACAGGGAGAACATGCAGACTCCACACAGAAAGGCCCCGGGTCGAGGGGCTTGAACCCTTCTTGCTGTGAGGCGACAGTGCTAACCGCCGGGTCACGGTGCCGCCCCAGAAAAAGATCAGATCTGACAAATAGATCAGAATAGAGGATTACAGCCTGTCATGTGAACGCAGTGTTTGAGTACAAGACAAATGACAGGCGCTTGGGGTGTGTTACACTGCATTCAAAGAATTCTGAGAACATGTAGAAGATTCTCTGGTCTGTTGAGTCAAAAACCAAACTCTGGTGAACACCAGGCACTGCTAACACCATCATACCACTGGGGGGCTTCTCAGCAGCAGGGACTGTGACACTGGTGAGACCTGAGAGAAGGATAGATGCAGCCACATACAGAGCTCCTTGAAGAACACATGCTTCAGAGTGCATGTTATCACTTTGTCATCATGGGCTCCTTAGTCTAAACTGATGGGCAGAAATCACTTTTTTTCATTTAAAATTAAATATACAACACAGCTGCAAAACGTAAAAAGGTCTGAGTAACCTTTTAAGCCATTATCTTTTTTATGTTATAAAAATTATGCTTTTTGATTTAAACATCTACATGTCACCTGGAAGTAACCAACTACTGCATCGTTCTGTAATTAAAAATTACAATTAGATCCTGTGCAGGAAGCAGACGGCCCTTTGTCAAAAATATGGCTGTGCTAGGGTCTTGGCTTACTAAATCAGTGTAGAAATAAATTGACAGTTCCAGCACTGTCACATCAGCCTTTTGGCATAATTGTTGTAAAGCTCTGTGTTCTAGACCAGTGATTGCTGTTGTTAATGTTTGTACCGAGACCTTTTTAATCATTTTTGTTTGTTACCTGGGTGATAAGTTACAGACAATAGATGTCTGGTACCAGTGTGGTTCAGTCTTGTTAAGTAGAAAAATGCAATGAGAATGCATAGACTTTCTATATTTTTAATAAATAATTCCCTGTGTAACCACTATAACAAAGTTTACAGCTACATCATACATCACATTCACTGTACCGTTACATATCATGTTGATGATGATTTTAAAAGTTAATGCTTCTAAAATCAGTTAAAACCTACAAGATGATTGGCTGAATTATTACATACTATAGAGAGAAAGGTACAGGACACACACAATGCATTGCAGCCTGTCTTCATAATACAAAAAGTGATGTTCTTATGAACTAGATGGAATGATATACTAATTATTTTCTCATTGCATGACAAAAGCACAAACACACACATGCACAACAAAGTATATTCCTCATACACCAACTTTATCAGCATTGCTTTCAGCATAAAAAAAAAGAAGTGCAAAACTTCTCACTGCAGACATCTCATTTCTTCAAGCAAATTATTCTACAGACTGACAGTCCTGAGTTTTTCATTTGACATTCAAGCCTTTGGTCCAAGTAAGTGTCCATTTTGTCGGCACTGGTTCAGTGATAATGAACAACACTAGCTGATGTATAGTACAAAATGTATTAGAGCTAGTGATGAGGCACTTCCTGTTTCTTCTCTGCTGAGGGTGCTACTGTGTGAGACAAAGGAAATCAGCCTTCAGTGCTTTTCTTCAAGGGATTCTCGAAAAGCGTCAAACCCAACTCTCAGGATAATTCCTCGGGCCTTTCGGCTTTCTAAATCGGTTCCCAAATCCTGTCAAAGCAGAAAATTGTGTTGAAGTGGACCAAATATGTAAATGTTATAAACGAGTACTAGATGCAGGCCTACCAAATTTGAATATGGAAGATGAGGAACCATATGCTGGAGATTGTAGTCCAGATTGAGTAGGAGGTGGTGGAAGGCCAGTCTTAGCTGATAATATAGCAGACATGTTAGTCCTTCTACCCTTTATGCATTTATTGAGCAATATTTTACATCAACTTTACTTACGTTTACATTTGTGTCTAAAAAGCTTCAGACTCTGGACAAAGAAAACAAAAACACAGGTTTGGCTGTGTACTCTTTCAAATTTGATGCAAATGCTGCATGAACTAGCTCTGTGTGGCGTTTCTGTTACCTTTGTTCTGGACATGCCCTTCTCATTGCTTTTGTTTGATTTGCTTCCAGATGGCTCAGCGTTCAGGGATGACCTGCGGCTCACATCCTGATGTCCTACTTGTGCTGATGAACACAGAAACAGATAGCAAATGAAATTGCTTTCCTCATCTGACAGTTGTCTTGATGATTCCCATTTTCCATGTGCCTGTCACAGCAAATATCTGTGGTAAAGAATCTATTATAAACTCATAAGATTCACTACAGCCTTCAAAGTGTGTAGCATAATGTTTTTCAAACGACAGTCATTTATTTGATAAAGCCTGTTCACGTGTTTATTAATAGCATTATGTGTGAGAAAGTCTTGTGTATAGTGTGCAGCCCGTTCAGCATTTGAAACAACTCACCACTTCCTCCTCCTGACAAGGAAGTGGAGTGAGCTGCGGAACCACAGCGAGGGGCTCTGCAGCAGAAACACAATTATACTGTAGATACAAATGTCTGTTGTAAAAGATGTGGTATAGATTACTTGTGAAAACACTATTTGTTCACTTAACTACACTGCTACACTAAAGGACTAACAACAGATCAAATGAAAAGACCAAAAACCAGCAGTGAACCGATACTGATAAATGCTGTCTGTGAAACAAATCCCTTTGTCCCATATTGAGCCACGTTGTCGCACTAGGTGTAACTTTCTTTTATTGTGATCAACTTGAGCTCCACAGTTAAACTCACAAACACAATTCTGCTTCTGTAAATACTCACACATGCAGTCCTACTGAGTAGCAGCTGATTTAAAAAAAAAATTGAAGTATAAGATTTTCTGTACATCTACCACAGGAACAAATGGGTTTGAACCACAGGCAGAATACGGAAGTGGGAAAGTATTAACAAACTGATGCTGCCGGTTTGGGTCTTTTCGTAGAATTTGTTTACGGTGTAGAAATATAGACCAGTGCCTTCTCCTGTATCTGCCAGGCCAAGAAAAGTGACAGGAGTCTCTAACAGAAATAGCTTACCTTGTCTTGAACTTGTAGTTCGAACACTCTGGAGGGAACATTACAAAAATGTGAATGTCCTAACAAATAGAAACTGGAGCAGCAGAGAATAAGAAATGAATCAGTGAATATTTTGTGTGCTTTCTGTTTCCTGGACCATTGGTCATTACCTTACTCCTGCTCATGACAACGTCGAGGAAGTTCCTGGACTGGGAATCACCAGCCCACTCATGTGAGTTGTATGGTTTCGGTGAGGGCTGTGGGCACGGGGCAGTTCTCTCATGAACTGTTGGGAAAGAGCAGAGTCAACAAAACAGCATTTGGACAACAAAAACTGCTGCATAAGATTAATTGTGTCTCTGTTGTAGGAAAGAAGATGATACACTCACTCTCTTCTGTGCTGAGGATGAAGGACTCGGGGGTTCTGCCAGGAAGTGGAGGATTCAGGCTGTTCTCAGCTGCTCATTCAGGTATAAACGTCAGTATTTCATTATTATTATTAAGAATCTGTTATGTTGCCTACTGATTTTTTGTAAAGTGTTTTTTGTTTTTTTTTGTTGCTCTTTTATAAACTTTCTCTTGAATGACATACAAATGTTTGTTGTGTTTGTTTTGTGCTAAGGACAATCTCAAAGCAAAGATCATAATGTAGCACTGGGGGCAGAAAGACCTAGGGTGAGTTGACGGGGAGACACCTGGCAGGATCCCCCATGGTCGCCCACGGGGCAGGATGTAGATGGTTCAGGGTTTTGACGGGGTTCAGTGTGTGTATGCCTGTGTTCCGGCTGATGGTGTAGTTACCAGAGTGTGTGTGTGAAAAGAAAAAAGAAAAAGGCAACTTCTGTCTCCAGCGTCTTCCTCAAGATAGCCTGCATTACGAGCTATAAGTGCATCATTCAGCCTGGTCAGCTTACCTTGAGAAAGCAGCGGAGTAATCAGTGGGTCCAGAGGTGGATAGAGAGGATGGAAGTTTGATGTAGCATTTGGTGCTAGATGAAGATGTGGTACTGGTGCTAAAGATATCACAATAAAATAATTATTGGTGCACACTGTGATATCTTGGGCATCTAAAATTGTTCTAGTATTTATTATACTGCATGTATCTCACCTGTGAAGGTCATTTTCACTTTCAGACTCTACAAGAAAGAGAAGGTGCTGTGTCATGCCACTTTCAAAGCTCTCACAGTCTATGATGGTATGTTTATACAGAAGGATTTCAGACTCTCATCAGCACATGTGTAGCTCTCTGGTTAGCTGAAGTCATGAATGTAAACTCTCCTAACACGTTAGGGTTTGGTTTAGACATGTATCATCCACACTGGTAATTAAGATGTCTGTCAACCAGTCGGCTGACATCATGCGCACAAGTAATATACTAAGTATCAGTAATTTATCATTCGAGTGTTCATGATGTAAGTATACCTTACTCCTCAACCACGGTTTGAGCTCATTTTGAGATGCAGCTGGCTCAGAGTTACCGGACCACTCTGAAGACATTCCTATTCTGCTCAGGTTCAGTGTCGGCATGACCTCTACATTCTGATCCCCAGCAGCTGAATGGCAAGCAAGAAAAATTCAGATCATTATTACAAGTTTAAGTAAAACAATACACATATATACACCACACAGTTAATTCTTCTTGTCTGTATTATCTATTTATGATATTAGTGGCTCACCTTCAGTAGCCAACTCGTATGACTCTGGGGTTCTCTCTGGGAGTGGGGGAGCAGGTGACGGGGGGCTGCCTTAGAGTATGGAAATAAGGATGAGTTTTTTTCTGAATTGTTCTGTAATTAAACTTTTAAAGGATGAGGCCGGTCTTTTCCTATAGCACGGGCCTTTCCTTTATTATCACTGTTGGCATAGCCTGCTGTTCCACTCAGCCATAAAAATGGCTTTCAGCAATAAATGTAAGCATCTTTTAAGCAAATGTGTTTGGAACACAGTCCCAGTGTTCTCCCGCATTTGCCCTTAAACTGTAGGTTACTCTTACTTAAAATGATTTACCATTTAATCCTCCACAGACCAATCACAAAGTGAAAACAGACAGCCTCACTAAAATTGCCTCGATTCCACACGACCATACACTGTGTTGCAGCAGCTATCTAAAATAACAATCAGCCGCTGAGAGGGAGAGCAGGGAGGTCTGTCTTACACGCGTTGTCCAAACAAACTTAACTCTGTAACTATGTTTGGTTGTTTACTGAAGAAGCAAACAATCATCTGACAAGTCAGTCATAATGTGAAACATGCGGCTGGACAAAAATCCCCACAACATTGTGGTCAACAGAAAATTGGGCTCCCATCTTGTCTCCTTCTCACACCGAACTGCCAAACAACCAGTGCACAGGTGATATTAATTAATCCGTCCCAGAAGAACAGGAACCAGGCTGATGCTAACCTGGGTTGGTCTACAAAAAAAACGTCATCCCTACAGCACGCTATAGAAAATGACCGGCCTTATCCTTTAACGATGATGGTACTAGTCATCTTCAGACATGCAGAATAGCGTCCCTGACTGAGCCATCACAGGTATTTTAGAATTTCAAACATTTTCTCACCTTGAAACTCCCTGACAGCCTCAGCAGCAGCATTAGATGGTATAACAACCTTCAACCTTTTATCTGAATACTCTAAAAGACAAAATTATAACATGTCGAAACACTTTTAGGTCAAGGACATATTTGCACATCTCAGGTAACAGGGATACCCTGTGTGCTTTCTTCTTGGATGAATAGAAGCAGAAAACAGAAATTCATACAATAATTGTGACAGTTAGGAGTGTGCTCCGAGTAGCCTTACAGAAGCTAATGGCTTATATTCTAGACTTTTACCCTGAGAAGGCTGAGCTGTATTCACTGCCAGTTCATAGGATTCAGGGGTGCGTTCGGGTAGTGGAGGAGGTGGGTCCTCATCTGTAAGAGCTTCCACAGTACCTACAAAATACACATCAATGAATACAAATATGTGCAAAATTCAATTCTATTACTCTGTTGTCTGTGTTGTTTGTCTTTGAGACTAACATGCACACACAAGCACAGATAAGATAGTTTACCTGAGACAAGAGGAGTAAGATCCTGAATCTGGTCATTCGGAAACAGCAAGGGTGTGTTGAAGATAGGGCTAACTGTCCATTGTTTGGTGTCTTCAGCCGAGTCCATGGGTGCTTCCTCTGATGAAGGCGAGCTCATAGGAGTGTCAAAGTAGGGGTCCTCCACCATCAAACAAATGGCTTCTGTCACAACTGGTGCAGGTGCAGGGTTCAGTAATGGCATGTCATCATCTTTCTGTGTCCTCTCCTCTGCTGCAGGGGCTATCTGGCTGGTATGGGTGAGTGAGCTCCTGGGCCCCTCCTGCAGGTCCCCCGTGGTGAACAGAGTACCAGGAAAGGTCTGGGGTGGGTACTGTTGTTTCTGGTCCAGCTGCTTGTCCTTGGTACTCAAGGAAGGCAAAGGTGTGTGGTACTGTGGTAAAACATCCCTCTCCTCATCCAGAAGGTGCTGGAACTGTGGCAGCAAATCCAGCTCCTCACTCAGGTCAGTGTGAGGTGTGGTAGAGGACGGGATCTTTGTCACCTGACCAGGTTAAAAATAGCATGAGTCACAACTGCTTTTGATAAATGAAGAACATTTAATGTAAATGCATTAATGCTAATCAAATTCTGTCTGATTCATATTTAGCACAGTGTGTGTGTGTGTAATATACAGTATGTAAATTCTGAAGCCCTTACAGCCTGAATTTCCATTTACTGCAGATCATGTGACTGTTTTATGTTAATCACATGTTACTGAAACCACAACAAAGCCTGCCACAGCTGTTGTTTTTGCTTTGTTGATCATGATACTTGTTAGTTGGTGTTGGCAGAGGATGTTTTACATTTCCATTGTTTCTATACAGTCTGGCTCATTCACAAGGGTGTACTACTGGTTGCTCACCTCATTTCTGCAGATCTGTGCATCCATGGACTGCAAATATCTCTGAAACAGTAACTTGATGGTTTGGTAGACCAGCTCGTATTGTTCCTGAGGTTAAACAACAAAAAGCTGCTCTGTTAGGTGACATGGCCCTGGAGCATGATGCACAAAACACAAACCCTCAAAAGATCTTTGAAAGAACCAAACAAATGACATAGTAGTAGATTTATTACAGGCTTTGTTCCAAAAAACAAAAATACAGTAATTACCTTGGTTTGAACCACGGAGGGCCGCTGGGTTCGCATGTTTTGAACCAAACTGAAGATACTAAAACCTTGAGTGATCATCTAAGAACAAGCACACAAAAGTAGAATACAAATTGGATCATCTACTGTTAAATTAATCTGTCATAGGGAAAATAATGCATGAAAAGTATAAGAGTAGGAATATGTCACCTGCTTCTTCAGGAGGTTCCAAGTATAGTCGATGACACACAGGACTCCTGTTCTACCACAGCCAGCACTGCAATCCCAGCAGCAAAAAGTCACATTTCAACCAATATTAACTACGTAGCAATTCTACATGATTACTCATATATTATCAGTTATGGAAGAGCTAGAAGGAGGCATCAGACAGGCTGGTATTTGAACTCATCTGACTCTCTAAGTAGATTTAATGCTAACAGACATTTCCAGCTCCTAAAGGTCCATCAATACACTTCTGCGACAGACAAGATTTGATAAGGTAAAGGCTGTAGTGATGGTGTTGAGTTGTACTGCAGTTTGATATGAGAGGATGATGATACAAAAGGAAGGAGAACAAAATCACACTTTAAAAAAAATGTTTTCAGCAGCAGTAAAGCATGAACCCCCCCCCCCCCCATGCACACACAGTAAGAAGTGCTGTAACTGGTGTGTAGGTTGAATCTGCCAGTGACTCAACATTCCATTTCTAACACGTTCTCAAAAAGGTGTGGGTATGTCTATGTATGCTTTCATGTCACGTTTGTCTGCAGTACTTAGTTACTTAATATCAGTACAGTTTGTTTCATTAGTCATAAAAATAACATGGAAACATCTTTAGTTGACACATGTAAAATGACAAAACCATCAGTTCCTTTTTATGTACCTCAGTAACTAATTTAAGAGTCTTTGTGCATTATGCATATTTCCGTTTCTGTTCCAAACTAAAGAGAAAAATAGAAAGCACATAAACCAAAGTGTTGCAGAGTCAACAATGTCATAACTGAGCTACATTTATTATCCAGCAAACTTCAAACAATTCCCACCTCCACCTCCTACCCTCCATAACAATCTATTTACACTCATTGACAGAAAGATGTTCATTCCTTCCCCCGGCTGACAAGCACAGGCCATACACATATGGCTGGGTGTGTTGATTGATGTACAGTAAGTCACAGTTCTTCTACTTAATTCTGTTTATGTGTAGCCTTCAGTAAAAGGGTAATGTGGGTTTTAACTGAGCCAAGGGGGAATGCCCACACATACATTAAAACCTAGTTGGTTGAAGACTAACCACCTACACACATTTCCTCGTAAGGAAAGCGAAGAGGTGCCTAACCTTTAAGGTCTAAAGTAGGGGACACATACATACTGCCCACAGACAATACGTTCCCATAGTAACCACTCAATCACAACCACAAGTGTGATTCTTTAGTGTCACTTTTTGTTTTCACATCTTAGAACAGAACTGAGACATACACTGTTATAGTTCATCTTCTGATAACAAAACAAGGCCTGTCTGTCCAATAACTCCAGTAGTAGTCATAATAAACTTTATTTGTACAGCACCTTTCATACATGGATACATGGGATGCAGCTCAAAGTGCTTTACAAATAAAATACAGTAAAGTAAATACAAGTTTTTATTAAATAAGCAAGGTAACAAGAAACTCATTTAAAGTAAAATTTTTAAAAAGATAAGTCATGCTTCTTAAATGATTTTACATAGGTATTTATAGACATGTTCAACTGTTTTGGTCAATAATAAAAAAAAATTGCCTCTCTCTTGTCTTTGTCTGAACTGTTGGTACATTTGATGGTGTAGTGTCTGATGTCCTAAGGCAGCAGCTATGAGTTTATGAAAAAGAGAGTCAACCATGTATGAAGGTGCTAAATCATTCAGCCTTGTAAAGTAGTAATGAAATTTAAAACTGAGCCAATGCACAGTAAAGATGCTAAAATGGAAGTGATGTTCACTGGCAGCTGCACAACGTTATTCATCCCATTAAAAAAGTTTTAAAAGAGTCCAGATGAGAGAAGACCAAAGCATCAAGCGCTGTCTTTGCACCACAAAGTGCAAGATATGGTCTGACTTTTACTAAATTCTAAGGTGAAAAAATATTAGTGACACTGTTATTTCTTATAGCAAACAATTTATAATGCTGTTAAGAGTTTTGCCTGTTTTGTAAACCTGTTTTGTAAGGCTGCACATAATGTCTTTCTTTGATTCAGCCCCAACAATGATAACTTATTTTTTGTCCATATTTAATTTGAAATAGTTGTCATCCTGTAATACAGTACTTGTGTAAATTCTTTCTTTCTTTCTCAGAGGTTGCAGCACTGGAAATAATTTATCACACTCAAATGATGAGGTAGCCACTTTCTAGATCTGTTGCCTGAGAGATATCGCCATATATACTGTATGTCCCTAAACAACAAGATGTGAACAAAGGTTACAGCATAGAGGTAAAGGTACCATGACACACTACATGGCAGTGGGTAGATGGTAACAAGATGCCTCATGGTTTGCCTACCACCATAAAGCATAAAAACAATAAAAATGAAGGTAACCACAACAACATATGGGGAAATAGAAGCATCACCACCAAACAGATCACTGAGTAGTAGAAGTAAAGGGAACTAGTTTGCCATAGGATCAACAGACCAGAAAAGAAACTGGCAAAGCAAGACAAATATAATCCTTGGTCCAACAAAAACATGGTGACAAGAAGCAGAGCAGTGGCTAGGATTTCTGATCAGACTTAGTTTCCATGTGCTTTATTTCAAATGTAATATCATTTTAACACTGATTTCTATATGCATTGGTTACCACTTAAAAGTGGCGGTTAGGTGTGGGAATTATTTTTAATTCCCACACTTTTCCATACATATTTCTGTCACATAAGGCTGTGATTCAGTATCCTAAGCAGGGGTGTACACAACACTACGTTACACAAAGTACCTCATAGTATAGCATAAGCATATTGTTTTTATCACAATGTTCACACAAAGAGTGACAACATTTATTGCCATTACATACTTATGGTTACTCATCAGTTTATTATCTTGCCAGTATATATCCTGACTCATAATCAACAAAGCTAAGTTGGACACCTTATTGTTGGTTTTTCCTCTGATTTGCCACTTAGCAGTCACCAGACTGTATTTTAGGTGAACGTATTCAGATTGTTGACTGCCTATGTTGTACCATTGCGTAAAAGGAAGACTCTGAAATGAATTTTGATGATTTTCACCCTATATCTAAACTATCCTGTCTGGCTATATAATATTGGAGAGGCTTCTTAATAATCAGGTAAAGAATTTTTAAACTAGTAACTGTATTCTGAATCCATGTCAGTCTGGCTTTAGACCTGGTCATAGCACAGTGACAAAGGCCTCAAAGGTTGCTGGTGATACTACATGGGCTTTGGATAGAAAATTAGATTGTGTTGCTCTTTTTATCGACTAATCCAAAGCTTTTGATTCTGTGGATGACAACGTTCTTTTGCAAAAACTGGGCCATATTGGATTTGATGAGAAGTCATGTAATTGGTTTAGAAATTATTTGTCTGATAGATCAAAAGCTGTTGTAGTAGATTGTTTTAAGTCTAATTTTATGGATATTTTTAAAGAAGTCTCACAAGGATCCATTTTATTTACTACTTTTATTAATGATGTAGGATCCAAAGTAATCTGCATTTATATGCAGATGACACCACCATTTATACAGTGGCCCCCTCCACTGATCTGGCTTTTCAGCGTTTGCAGTCTGATTTTAATATTGTTCAGTATCAGCTTCTTGATTTTAAACTAACAAATATCTTACAACAAAGTATATGATTTCTACTAAAACACAATATCAAATTGATAATTAAAATTTAATTATAGCTACAATGAATGGAGCTGTCATTAACAAAGTCTCGGAATATAAATATCTTGACTTTTGGTCAGATGACAAGCTGAATTTTCCATTGCATGTTGAGAAGTTAACTACTTCATTTAAGCCTAGACTTTCATTTCTGTATAGAAAGAAATTTTGGTTTAATGAGTGTCACATGAGGCAACTGGTACAAGCAACACTTTTATCTGTAATAGACTATGAGAATATAATTTATATCCATGCCTCTGCTGAATTTCAAGCCATGTTGTTGTATAGTGTGAGAATAGGAGTGGACTAAGTATAGAGCCTTGAGGAACACTATATGAAATGTGATGAGTATTACAATTGCAAAAAAACTTCCCATTTAAAAGACTTAACAGAATTTCAAAGTAATTGTTTTAATTAATCTATCAGTACAGTGTGATAAATTTTAACAAAATGAGAATAAGCAAGTCAGAGGCATTACAGAAAACAGCACTTCCTCTTAAGTCAGAATTTTACAAAGGTAGTTTGTGTGCTGTAACACACAAACACACACAATTCCAGAAGCCTAATTTTATGATCACTAGGGAAGTTGTCAAATGGTTTCTGTACTGCTTTTTATAAAATTTTCCTGACATAATATTTCAAACAGGCCTGAAATTATTCAAAATCAGGTTTTAGAATTAAAGGCATCCAGTGGTGTTATGAACCAGCACAATGGAAATGGACTCAAGACATTTGGTAAACCTTAAGGATACACACGATACATTTTTGTGAAAAAAAAATGAATGTATTAGAACTTAGAGGTGAAATTCTTGGACTGGCGCAAGACGGACGAAAGCGAAAGCTTTAACCTCTAAGTTCTATAAGGATGTCTGACTGACCTGCAGTGAATGCAAATAGGGATGTCATCATGGGCCTGATAGGAACGCATTTCATGCAACATTTCCAGAATAGGAGGTATAGAGTCTGGTACACCGTGATCTGGCCAGTTGAAATAGTGTAGCTGTTTCAACGTTTGACTGTGCTGGAAAAAAATGTAAGCATTGCAGACAATTACAAAGCATGTCTTTTTCCAAAGCACATTTAATAACAATATCATATGAGTTTAAGGTGAACACATTTTCAACACTTGCTACTGTATACATCATTGCTAAAAACAAAGATATACAGAAACCAAATAATTTTGATAGATGTTAGTAAATTCCATTTCTAACATGTAAAATATGACCACATTAAATTCGAGATATTAAAAGCTACGTGTAGTCTTTGTAGCAGCTGCTTGTCTGAGGAGAATTATCTTGACAGTTATTCTCACAGTCATGGTATAAATAATACTTACATTTTGATACGTCATCCTTAACATCCTTATCAAATAATCTCCTTTACTTTCCTCAGAATCCTGTAAGACAAAACCAGCAGTGCATCCTTAAGCTGAGAACCTCTATGAATGTATTCATGTTTTATTAATAATAGAATAATTAAGAGTTGCATGAGACAGGTGTCATGTAATAAAAAAAAAAATCAGCATATGTTATAATTCAGTTCTAGGAAGCTGTTAAAGTAGGAGGTATGAATGTGAGAATAAAAATACATACACAGTAAACTTTAAAAGGCTCACAAACAAATGGTTGTTCATGTTGCAGTGGCCAGTAGCGCTCACACTTTTTCTACAAAAAAAGTACAAAATTTTAGATTTGACACAATAAAAATGCAATAAATCTACCTGTTACATCAACACATGCAGTGAACTAGTGCAGTGAATTGTAAGACCATACAAAGCTGAAAGCAAATGCACACATAATATGCAAATGTGTTGATGGCAAACTATGGGACACACAAAAGATCTGTGTACACCATTTCATGTTACCTTTCCCATTTCAAACTCTCGACAGGCCATCACTACAACCTAGAGTCAAACAAGACAATGAGAGATGTAATATTCCAAAGAGCAACAAAACTCTTAGTGTGTACACAGATGACAGGTGGGTCATACTGTACCTTTATGTTGTACTCCCAAAGCATTCTCAAGAAATCCAGTACTGTGTGGGCCAGAGGACCCTGAGTAGCAATGTAGGCCCTTGAACCTGACACTCCCTGTAGAGAAGAAACAGCGTATAGTCAAGCCAATGTACAAATACCTAGTTCAGTTCCATTCAGTTCAATTCAATTATTACCTAGTTACATCTATGCAAAGGCAATTTAAAAAATCTCCTCACAAGGACACTGTTAATATACCTTGATAAAATTGGCGTTGATGTAGTCTGTATCATTTTTAGTCGTACTGAGAGTGAGCTTTACTCTGCTGTGGTCAACTAAAAGGTGAGAAAGACATAGTTAATATATGAAACTCGAGTCAGTGACTCTGCTGTGCCTTTTCACAGCTTTTTGGCAAAATAAAGAATAAACAGAAATAGAAATGTCATTTTTCTTTGCTACTAGATTGCTGTCTGATATCAATTTTAAGAAATGTGCTTAAAAAATACATCAAGTACCACATTATGATTAACCTGGTAGAACATACGATAACATATTAATAATCTGCAGTGTTTTTTAGGTCATGCGTTACCACTTTAGGCAATTTCACATTATCATACACATAAAAATGACTTTGCAGACTATATGCTATGAATTAAAAAGGCATCGTTTCATAGCGATCTCTCATCTGCTCTTATACATAATTATATTTGTCATTTTACGCGGACATCTAAATCAAACTACATTTTTCACAGATCTGCCTTGCACAGAACTTACAGGGAACAATGTCCTTATATCGGTTCTTCTTGATATTCTCTTGCTTGTCTGCTGTCTTGGTGGGGTAGGACTTGTCAGCACGGTACTTATTTGACTGGCTTTTCAACCTCTGAAAAACATGAAGGACATTGAATCCAACTACATAGAATTCAACCATAGCAAGTGAATGTTCTCATTGTTTTGTCTTTCATTTTTCTAACTTGATATGTCAAACAGGAACAACACACATACATGCAGCTGATGAATAAAGTTGCCTGTACTGCATACCTGTAGTGGGTAAAATGTCATCTTCATGAAGGTTAATGTTCTGTCTTGTTGCACCTATGTCAGAGCTATAGTTTCAACTCTATGATAATTATTTGTTCTTATTTTGTCTTAGATCACCTAACATTATAAATTGTTCCCTGTATTTAACAGCTTGTTTTCTTTGTGGACTCAACTGTGGTGTGTTTATAATGTTGTAACATGTCGTAGAGTGTCTTGGATTACACTGAAGTGTGTAAACACTTAAATTAGGTTTGTGCAACATTTAAAATTCATAATCAGTGTAAGGCAAGAAGCATCAAAGCAATAGGAGGTTCAACAAATATGTAGTGTTTCTTTAGAGCATAATACATTTTAGTTTTTACTTAATTGGAAAAAGAACCTTTAAACCATGGATGGTTTCAGCTCGTACTCGACCACTTTTATCACCACCTTACTGCTACAACACAAATCATTGATAGCTGCAACACATCTGATTTATTAAAATATTTTAGGGGGCATTTTTGGCAGCCTTTTTGTAGCTGCAAAGTTTTACAGGCGACTCAGAGGAAAACAACGGGGCACATGGCAGGCAACTGAACACTGGTCACATATGGTGATTCAGCCCTGGATGACCAGAATCTATGACTCACTTTACTAGAAACTGACTTGATGGCTCTCAAACAGAGTTGAGGTCCATCCTAAATTTACTATGTGGAAATTTTGAAACTCAAATTAAACCCTTGACACATCCATGCTTGGAGGATTTCTTAGGACAGGGGTCTTTTTGTTCAGAGGCCATTTTTTGCAGTTCCACACAGTCTGTTAGAGGCCTTGCAGACCATCTGCGCTGCTAAGACCACAGAGTGCTTTTTGTTTGGAGAGGAAGTGATGCAATAGAGCCCTTCCTCTGGAGCGGTTGAGGCTATAGTGGCCTGACAGCGGCATGTGAAGCACACGGCTCTGTCTTTAGGCACTCATCACCATGGCAGCAGACCACAGATGATGTCATCCTCTGGCTCAAGACTTCCAAGACAAATTCTTCATGCAAATATATATATATATATTTATATATATGCAGTGCATATGCTTATCTGTCTTCCTTGCTGATGTGCCCTCACTGACAAATATCAGTGCAAAGAGGAAGCACTAAACATGGTGCCGGGGCTGTTAATAGAAGAGCAGCCGATTACTTCCCTGAACATGTCTTCTGTGAAAACTTTCAGCGTTCACTCTCATTGTGCTTACTGTCAGTTCAGTCAGTTTAAACAAACATCACGGCTATGTCAAGTGGTTCCTAAAGATGCAATACTGAAATTCACAGGCTTTATCTATAATATTATTCACAACAGTACTTCAAAAAAAAAAAGAACATAAAACTTGACTTACAGCAAACTCCCCAGCGAAGTGATTCGAGGCTTCCTCATCCACGGCCTCCTGCCTCTCCAGCTGGGCCAAGAAGCTCCTCAGTATGCAGGCCTGCTGCTCCATGGCTGGCTGTACACTGCCTGGGTCTGGACACCTTTAACAGGCATCTCAAGTCACAAAGCTCCTTGTCAACACGAGTCCCAGGGTATGATCGCAAAGGCTTGGGTTCAGGGCTGTGGCATGTCTGTTGCTGATACACAGAGCACTTCTCTATTATGACTCTCACATCAAGGAACTATTGTGAAGGACTGCACTGTCTTAGAGGAAACAACAGTAAGCTAACAGGTTCTGTGGTCAGATAAAAATTTTGCCGCGCCCCCCCGGGTGTATCTCACTGGGTCCTAAAGACACTCGGGTGTTTCACTGCATGACAGTGTCACAGATGGTATGGAAGGGGAACACCCACAAACAGAGTAAGCCACACATTTATGCATATAAAGTTAGAGTACGATGCAGACAGTCTAACCTAGTGGACAACATTCAGGACACACAAGAAGGAGTGGAGGAGGGATTTCATTGGGGATGGAAGCAGAGCCAGAAGGAGAGGTGAAGAGAAAGCAAGTCTGAGAATCCTGATATTCTGAGCCAGCAATTATCAGCAAAACACTTTAGGTTTTCATTTATGCCTGCTGCATGTCCACAGTGTTGGTAAACAACTTGACAGTATGTGTGATAAAATATCAAGTAAACACAGCCATTTCTTGTAAAACTCAAACGTGTCAGCTTGTTGTAATTTGTGTAGCAGGAGATCAAGTTTCTACTTTCACTGCAAGCTTTGTAGATCTATCTATCTATCTCTCTATCTATCTCTACCTATCTCTACCTATCTCTACCTATCTCTATCTATCTCTATCTATCTATCTACAGTAGGGCTCAGAGACCTGTCAAGGGGCACTGAAGCTGTTCTGGTGGCACTACTACTACTGAGACACTACATATTGGGTTTCCTTTTTTTCATGATGAAAATACCAGTATTTCAAGATGGTAAGGAAAGCATACAGAAAACAAGACTTACCAGAGAAGCTGACATACAGTTCATGTGAGGAGGTAGCTTACTTTGTGTTAGGTGCGCATGAGGAAATAATGCCTTTTGTCAGACACAACATGATGAAGACAACGCAATCAGCTGGAGTTGTGCACTACACTGGTAAGGTGGTGACATCTAGTGGCTCTGTGGTAATTTAACACATTTAGCCATTCTTAAATAGACTTGAGTGATTCAGTTTAATCATGGGATTATTGTTAAAACCATCAATGGACAATATACAGTCTGATACTGCAGATAGTTACATAATATGAAACTTAAAATGACTGAATGAAGGTGGAAATACTAAGCCAAACTAAAGTGTGTTCCCATATGGAAAATGGGCTTTCCTAAAGATAAAAAAAATCAAAGTTTTACACATTTAAATCAGCTTTATAATGACATAACCTGAAACAAATGTGGCCTGTTTATGCAGTATATCATATGCGTGATGAACAAATGTTCTTATATAACCCACAATGCACCTGGAGGAAACTACAGCCACCACAGTCCACCTCTACAACTTCCTGACTGTAGCTCAGGGTTGTTGATTTCATATTCTTACTTTCAACATCAAAATGAAGACTCTGTGTCTGATTTTACTTTTTCACGGTGAGTGATTTAAAACTAATAATAATAATTTTTTAAATGTATCAAAACATAATCAATTCCTAAACACATATATATTCAATTTGGAAAGTTTAGGGGAATAATCTTTTTATTTTTGTTGCAAATATCAGTTTCAATAGCATGATGTTAATTGAAACTGCAGTTTTACTACTAAGCTAAACTTCATTAATAACTAGAAAATGAAAAGCTAAAACTATCACTTTTATGTTAGCATCAGTAATAGTCTTGCTGTATTGCTGCATTTGAACACTGCTGTACTTTAGCAAATTAGTGTTGTCTTCAATATAAGTGCATGGATTTTGGATTTTACATGGACAGTTTTTCATAATTATGGGCTGGAGGGAGGCAAGCCACAGTTTACATTAGATTTTTTGCACATGAACCACTGTCATGTGTACATGTTTTTGCAAAGTTGACATGGTTAATACTAAAATGTGGGTCAAACAATGAAATTAAATTAGATAAACTTGCATAGAAGGTTGAATACAGTATGCAGTGAAACCTGAAACAAGAGCATTTTTCTAATTGCTGTGCCTATTAGCAGATTCACTCTGAAATTTATCTTTCAGCAAGTCTACAGCTCCAATGTGATAAAGGAGATATCACAGCACATATTGGAGGTGAATTCATTCTTATCTGCAATTATAATGCAAACCAATATCGGTACAATAAAAAGTACTGGTGCCAAGGGGACTCCGGACACACCTGTGATATTTTAGTAGATTCAGAACACTTCAATAAAAACGGGCGCAGGTTTCACATGGTAGATGCGGGAAGAACAGGGCTGTTTGTGAAAGTGACAAATCTCCAGTTTGCTGACACTGGAGTGTACTGGATTGGGATTGACAAACTATTTGCTGACATCATGACTTCAGTTAATGTGGTCATCACTGAAGGTAAGAATAAAACAGACCTTTATGATTAACTTGTGCTTCTGCTATCACAGTACCAGCAACATCAGTAAACTGTATGAATTGCATTTGGACATTTATTATTTTATAATGTCAGGTCAAATGGATTAAAATATATTACTTGCTTGTTTGTGCCAGTTCCAGTATCTAAACCCAGACTTTGGCCCTTGAGCTCTCTGGTGAACAGGCCAACATGCTGGGGGCAGCCAGTAACTGTGCGCTGTCGCTGTACAAAGGGCACTGGCATTCGTTACGCCTGGTATCAACATATTCACCACAAGGACTTCCTGTTTCAGCAGTCTTCAGACTTGGGCCTACACTGTGGGACTGTGAAAGAAGACAGTAATTATTACTGTATTGCCAGCAATGACGTAAGCAGTGAGGAGAGTGATGTCCTCTCTGTGCAGGTTCTGACGCCTGCAGACAACAGCTGCATATATGCTGTTAACATACAAGGTACGAATGGACATGTTGCATTCTATAGTATAAATATCACTGCAAGAAGTGATAGTTTCTTTCGAGCCTATGTATTATTATGTTTTTTTACTGACGCCTTCAAAATACATCAAAACACATTGACAGTGAAAAAGAAATGGTATAGTACGCCATAGTACATGATTGTTTTAGAACATTGTTTTATAACTTATTATCATTACAATACACCGTCAGCATTAAGTGGACTCTACAGAGATAATGGGCGCTGGGCACGGGCATGTAAAAGACCCCTAATGTGGGTTTATGTGCCTCTTTGTAGTTGTTTAAGTCTTTGTGGTCGTTTTGCATCACTCTGCGTCTATTTGTTGTCATTGTAGCAGTTTTGTATCTCTTTGTGACTAATTTGTGCCTTTTTTAAGTTATTTTAAATGACTTTTCAACAAAAGACGTTAACAGTCACTTCAACCAAAAGCTCTGAAATTCTTGGACCCCCGGGCCTATGACCAATAGGTCTATTCAAAAATCCATCCATGGTCAGAGTTCATGAACATCAAGGTGCTTTCTGCAAACACTAGGGATGGTTAGTGTGGTTATGGTATATTGGTTTTATGAGAGCTCACTGAGGGTTTCAAGTTAAGTAAGGTGCACTGTGGTAATAGGGGCCTATAGGGGCCATATAGTAGTTCTTACAGTATATGTATACGTTTATTTTAATAACATTTGTGTCATTATGAATGTTTTTTACCTCCAAAAGACACTTCATCTACTGTTTACAAGTTTTACTGTACAGTAAAGGTCCAGATTAAACACTACTTTAACTTTGGCTATATACACTTTGTACACTGTTGGATCATCATCCCCACTTTTGGCATCACAATCATCACCACTGGTGCCACTTTTTACTTAATTATTCTCAAGTCTCTTAAACAGAAATTAAAATTTCACATCAAGGTAAATTCAGTCATGGATCATGAGCTTTCATCTGTATCACACAATCCTCTTCTCCAGATAAGATGTCACAGAATTGTAGCTGTTTATCTGCTGATGAAGCTCCTGTGAGCTGATTGAAAGAACAGCTACAAAACAGACGTAAAGTAGTTCCATCAATCAATATTGATCTCCATCATTATTATCTTTTCATTCTTTATCTTTTCCTGAACCAGGTTAAATTTTTTGAGATTAAATATTTTTCAGGTCAGATCCGGGCAAGACAGATCGAGAAGAATAAATACAATACAGGCAATAAAATCAGGCTAAGACAAATGAAACGCACTAAAAAAGGCTATAAAAGTAAAATTAAAATGCAAGTATTTGATTTTCATTAATTATCCAAAATGCTGAAAAAAATCAGTTAGATGCAAAAGCACTGACAAAGATTCCTTTGTTCCTGTTTAAAGTTGTTTTTTGCCAAACTCAGGGAAATATTCAGTAACACCAGTCAATACCAATGTGTCAGAATAATCAGTCAGAGTATGTAGGGAGGACACAGCTACTGCAGTGTACAAAGTACAGCAGTGTACACGATAACAATGTGTACCACAGTGATGTACGGTGGTATATTTTACACTCTGGGCAGGTGCGCTCATAAGGATGAGATTACTGTAGGGTAAACAAGTTGCCCAGAAAGAGAAACTTGGTCTGCTGCGAATGAAGAAACCTCATTTTAACTACAACTTTGGCACAAAGTTTCAACTTGTGATTTACAAGACAGAATATTAAAAACATAAATTAATTTGGGTAAAACATCCGCAAATGTTGTTGATAAAAATACCTTAAATCTAACATGTTGTAGGTTAGCTGGTAGCATTTCACAACTAGAAAACAGCAGTCTGGATTGGTCCTAATTTAATACCAACAAAAGCTAGGTTAAACAGGACTACACAACACCAAAGGCCGTCTGCAGGAATTCATGGGTTTGTACTCCTGATGAGGTAGAACAAAGATTACAGTATCATCAGTAAACAATGACATAGTGCATTTAAGATCTGAAGATACATATACAATGTCTCAGTCTGGTGATAGTAGTCACTGGCTTTGCTGCCATGATTTCTTTTTAAACCTCTGGTTAATTTTCAGGTTGCACCTGTTTTAGGATGTTCTGTTCTCTGAGAGGAAGCTGATTCATATGATGTTTTTTTTTCACTGGCACTTCTGTTATTTATGGGTTGTCAAAATGTGACAGCTGCATGTCCAAGTGATTAAATATTTACCAGTCACTTTTGTTCTATTAGTAAAGCAATGGCTATTTCCTCTGTGCCACTACTATTGTGACACCGCTTTTTTCACAAGAATCTGACGTAAGAGCAAACACATAGTACAATGGCTCCTGCCCCATTACACCCTTACTTCACTTGTAGCTGAAAATAAACTGTTATAAAGATGTGAGAGAGAGCTTTATTATAATCACCCTTCCCACCTGTTACTTGCAGAAAAGTACCTTAAAATCTTTCAAGCTAAATTGGTGATTAGGCAATTGTTAAATTAATGGTCATTGATATATTTCATTATTATGAACAGTTTTTTTCAGTGGTGGAAGAAGTAGTCCGCTTTGTACAGAAGTCCTACTAACACAACTTACATGTTCCTAAAAATGCCATTGTACTGTATTTCTTTTTAATTGTCAGGCCATCCCTTTTATAACTGTGAGGACAGAAGAAGTACCACCATGGCCACAACTCTGCCTCTGACTACCTCCCAAGCTCCTGTGAAAATCCACTTGGACACAAGAAACCGATCTTCACAGACCAATCAAACTGATCAAAATCTTTTTTTCAGCAGGTCAGACCATACATTTCTTTAGTCACTTTGACAGAAATAATTGAGAAGTTTACCTTTATTCACAAAATGTTTGTTGTCTGAAAACCAGTCACTATCATATCTTTGTTTTTCTCAGGACATGGACAGGGCTACCACTCTGGTACACACTGTTGCGTTGGGGTTCCTTTGCATCATTGCTGATGTTTCTATGCATAGTCCTTGCATATGCTAAAACAAGATGCAAAAAATGTGCCAAGAAGAAGAGAAAGGTTCACATCAGGAAAATGTCCCATTTGTGACCTGCATTTTACAATGGTAGTTCTTTGGGAGTTACACCAGCGACTGTGACCTTTGTACTATTATGTTTATCAAGATTCTTTAGTATCATGTGATGATTGGTGAAGTGCCTGGGCTGGACATGTATGCCAGGGTGTCTCATTGCTGCACTCATCAATCATTGCTCTTATTTCTTGTTTAACTATATACTGTATCCTATTTGTTATCTGAATTTTAAAATGAAATAATTTTAATAAAGTGAAACAACAAGTAAACTTTTTTTTACTGCCAGCCCAAAGCGATGATCACAACTACTACTTCACATAATAGAACATTAACATAAAACAGGGGGTTTCATGATGGAAAACCACCCTTACAGATCCTGACCACAAACCTCATGTTCACATTAGTCTGGGTCTTGATGAAGTCCATGCAGTGATGATGATTTATATTTGACTTTATTTTATAGATATATGATTGTAATTCAAGACAAAAGTCTACAAATGAGTGTCTGATATAGTGTAAGTAATGCTTTTAGTGCTTTATATATTGTTGTTTTTACTTGGTGAGTTTAAGCAAGGTGCGGGAATACACAGGATGGAAATATTATGATTAGTGATTCAGACCCATGTGAACAAAGGCCATTTCTTCGGAGTATAAAGAAAGGCAATACCACACCCAGATTTTTGGAAAGCAATATCTTCCACAAACAGTGACTCAGTTTTAACTTGTTTTATCTCATGTAAATAAATTGTAGTCTTAATTTGCATGATGTGTTCCACTCTAGACACAGTATGAGATCTTTAGCAGCCCTAGTTTCCAGAGAGCAATTACTTGTGACGTAAAACTAGTCCCTTATACCATAAAAATACAATTAGATCCTAAGATTTGGCTCAGTAATAATATAGGAACCTATATTCTAGTGACACCACAAATCGACAGTTGGCCAGTCTCTGCTTTCAGGCATGGGCAGTGGTTCAGTAGTCTACAACCAGATTATTCTGCATCTACTGTGTGAGGTGGAAACTGTACCACTCACCTTGTATCATAGAAACTGGAAGTCAGTCTTAGGCTATTTTTGCATTTGGATGTATCTGATTTTTGAAAAAAAAAAATTTAACTTGACGACTGTTATGTTAAAATACGAGTTTAAATATTAAGATATTTCAAAATAAAACTTAATTTCATAAATTCCATAACCACACTACATTACACAAGTCCTACATTATTTCTTTTAAAACTTAGAAGTTTAGTTTGTGCTCGGAAATGCATCACTTCCTCCTATTGAGCTGCTCAGGGTGGGGCCCATTACATCAGTCTCTATTAATGTCTTGCCTGACAGTCCACATTATCACCACTGAAATGAAGGCAAATTGTAAATAGTGTGCTACCATTTCATGTTTTACAGAATATCCTTCACATTCACTTTACATAAGTCACTGAACCCATATTCTGTTTATCCTCAGGTTTTCTACATGTTTAGGTCTAATGCTTTGTACTGACAACATACAGAGCCAACAGCTCTAGGGTGGGGGGCAGCAGGGTACTGGAAGGAGGCTTTATAGGCATCTTCCCAGCTATTCATCACATCATGTGTTATTGCAGTTTGAAGACATGTTAGTCTTTACAGGCTCAGTTGATGAATGGAACACATTTTACCACATTAGTTATCAGCAATGTATAAGTGCAAAACTGTCTCTTTGTAGTGTTTTGAATTTTGCCAGCACCATAAAGGGCAATTCATGCTTAATATAGGCTACTACCATATAGTTTTGTCTATGGATAAATCCTAAACCAAGAATTCTGTGTGTGTATGAACCATTGTTATATTTTGCGTTACTGTTTATAATACGCCCACTTCCGGTAAAACGCCCTGCAGCTACACTGCCTTAAATTTCAGAAGATAAAGTTCGATTCCGGAAGAAGGAACATCAAATTACTCCTGACAAGGACGCAGCTACAGCAGAGATTCTCAACATTTAGCTGGGTAAGCTATACTACCAGAACGGTAATACCGCACTACTGTAACTGAAAGTGTGTAGGCTATTAGGCGTGTGTTGATATTACGTTAGCCGGCCATTAACTAGCTAGTAAAGCCTGGCTTGACAAACCAGCTGTGATGTTTTTTTTAAATTGAATAATATGTTGATTGTACTATTCGGGCAAACATTTGATCACAGTTTAATTCATTTTACCCCCCTACCTGAACATCTGGCATTGGCAGTTTCGGCACAGATCTTATTTAGAGTAAACTTATATTTAGGTTTTAGCCGTTAGCATTAGCTGCTGTTGCGCACTATCGTTCAGTGTTTTTAAGGAAGAAGGGAGGTGGCACGCTAGTTTCATAGGTAGACAGGTTACTGATAGCTATATTGCCATCTTTGTGGTTCTCTCTTTTGTTTTAAACGTATGCCGAATTTGCCAGTTAAAGCTGTCACTACAGATAAGTCGTGAAGGTCAGATTAACGTTAGCTAAATACAGCAACGTTAAACGTGTCCCGTTAGATCACGTTTGATAATGATGAATTTCCCAGAATTGGGTTTAGCATGATGTTTCTAAAGTACGCGACAAAGGGCCTTAACAAGGCTCATAAAATTATGCTGCAGTGACAGGTATATTTAAATCATTGTTAATTTGTGATGGTGTATTTTAACATGTATAGTTCAATAAGTATATTAACGCGACTGGCAGTGTCTGTTGGATGGAGTTAATATCTGACTTTCATGCTTATGATTGACATTTTCTTTACCAGAAAAGCTCACTGACTTCAGTCAGGCCTGCCAGGTTCCATCATGGCTATCACTTATGTCTTTCTACTGAGCAGTCTTGGCCTTGTTATAACTCAAGGTGAGTGGGCATTGCGTCTAAGCTCATTGTAACACTGTGATTAAATACACAAAATGGCGTTTGGTCTTGGGTAAACTTATCCTACCTTCTTGCTCATCTTTGTTTTTGTGTCTTTTGTTTGTAGCTCAAGACTGTTCCAGACCTGTGCCAGGACCCAACATGGACTTGAAGGGCAATGACATTAATTTAAACACATTTCCAAGTGGGACTACAGTTTCTTTTGCCTGTAATGTTGGCTACACATCTAAGGGAGGATCTCCATCCATTACTTGTACTAATGGAAATTGGAGTGCCGTGAAGCTGGAATGCGAACGTGAATATTAGCACTTTTTTGCTGCATTTTCACATATGGCACCCTCTAGTAAATAATGTCTTGCCAACATACAAATGCTCTTTTCGATGAGTCACTTGTAGTAGCTAGTGACCTGTCGAGTTATTTGCCCGTAATATTTTCTAGTAATTTTTAAGGGGGGAATTGAATCTTTGAGAGTTTTGTTTTTCAGGGAAGAACTGTGGCGCTCTTACAGAAGTGACAAATGGACAAATTGACTATCCTGATGGGACTCAGTTTGGCGATAAAGCTGTGGTCACGTGCAACACTGGGTGAGCAATAAACCAATAACTCTAATGGTTTATGTGCAGAGAATCAGTCAAAGGTTTTGAGTGTAGTGTGTTTCACCTTTAATCAAATTAGACTCGTACCATTCAAACTTCTGTAGGGCCTACTACCTGTTTAGTGTTGTCATGTGAAATGCTAGGACTCTTTTGTGGGATTTGTCTAAAGTTGAACAACTTTTTTTTCCCCCCTCCCTTTATTAGGTACATCCCTGTTGGTGGAACTAATGTCATTTGTATGGACGGAGGGTGGTCTGGCAGGCTTCCTGACTGTGAAGGTTGGTGACCTGTGTGACACAGTACATAATAAAAGGCACATAACTAATTTAAAAACTTATTTCTGTTCTAATATCTGTCATTTTTATTTTGCAGTGGTAACTTGTGCGCCACCACCAGATATTAAGAATGGCGATTACTATGAAATAAAAGACATGTATTCATATAGAGAAGTTGTAATGTACAGCTGTAAAACAGGTGCTACACTCAGCGGCTCACGTTCACGAACCTGTTCAGAAGTTGTCAAGCAGGTTATACACTCGGTGGCTCACGTTCACGAACCTGTTCAGAAGCTTTTATTTTGCAGTGGTAACTTGTGCGAAACCACCAGCTATTGAGAATGGCGATTACTCTCCAAAAGAAGACGTGTATTCATATAGAGAAGTTGTAATGTACAGTTGTCAAGCAGGTTATACACTCGGTGGCTCACGTTCACGAACCTGTTCAGAAGATGGAAGTTTTAAACCTGAAGCTCCAACATGTTACGGTAAGAATATCTTTAAGTACAGATGGGTGATGAATTAAAGGGAACACCCAATGGTAGTGGTCTCTTCCAGTAAAATAGTGCCCCCATCCAAAGGGCATGAGGGGTCACTGAATGGTTTGATGAGTATGAAAATGATGTGAATCATATGCTGAGGCCTTCACAGTGACGAGGTCTCAACACAGTTCAGCATCTATGGGAGTTGCTGGATGTATTAGAGCATATGTGTCAAACTCAAGGCCCGCGGGCCACATCTGGTCCTAATTTCAAGTCAATGCTAGTCTCTAACAGTGGCCAAGAGAAAAGTTGATTCTGAAAACAGAGCCTTTCAAAAACCCGTGTGTCTTATTTGTGGAGCTAATGTGACTATAATTAAGGAATATAACCTAAGACGGCACTACAAGACAAAACATCAGGACAAGCCGAAAAACGTGACTGCAGAGCAGAAGCTACAGAAGGTAGAGGAGTTGAGGAGGAATCTGACATCACAGCAGATGTTTTCACCAAAGCGAAATCACACAGTGAAGCTGCTGTGAAAGCAAGTTTTATTGTGGCAGAGGAGAAAATCAGCGACATTTACTGAGGGAGAGTTTCTGAAGAGCTGCATGATGAAAGTGTGTGACGTCTTGTGTCCAGACAAAAAGCAGGTGTTTGCAAATGTAAGCCTTAGCAGAAATACGGTTGCTGATTTTAAGTTCAGGTTTATTTATTCTGGAATAATATTGTATCCTGTCTGTTTCGATTCATACTTATGTTCAAAAAATGTTTCGTTTTAGTCTGTTCAATAAATTTTTATCCTGTTCGGCCCACGACCTAAAGTGTGCTTTTGAGTTTTGGCCCCCTGCGCCATTGAGTTTGACACCCCTGTATTAGAGGGTTTCTCCACCACCATCAAAACACCACATGAAGGAAAAGGTTTTGGAAGAATGGGATTCCAAGTCTCTGAACTCTATTGGAGGGATGAGACCCGATGCTAAGGCTCACTGAAGCTGTTATTGTGGCCCAGCACCTTAATGAGATGTTTTCTTTTGGGGTTTCCTTTCACCAGTCACCCATTTTTATGTGATCTTAGCATTTTTGTAGTGTTTGTAATTCTGGTCTGACTCCCACTGTCACTGTTTTGCATTAGTCAACTACACTCAAAACAAATGTTTTTCCACCTTTTGTCAACATTTTACGATGTATTCTCAGCAGTGCCTGATGCTCTCACATGGCCAACTGTGGAGAAAGTTGTGTTGGACAACTAGATTAATTTCCGTTTTCTTTGCCAGTGCCGGTTCCCTGTAAAGAACCTCTTATTGATAATGGTGGCTGGGTGTCGGAAAGAACCTCGTGTTGCTAATGGTCGCTGGATGTCGGGTGCTCGACCCCCTTATACAGAGAAATCTACAGTGACCTTGGAATGCAATCCTGGATACATTATGAGAGGAACCTCTACCCAGACGTGTGAGAATGGTAGTTGGGCACCTGGACTTCCAATATGTGAAAGTAAGTCGTAAAGAAACGTCATTCTCTAGGTCATGAATGAATACTTAACATAGGTCTGTAAAGAAACGTCAGATCATGTTTTACCTTTAATTATTTGCAAGTATCTGTGGTTTCCTTTTTATATGAACTTAGCATTGTTGATAGGGAGGTCAAAATAAGCGAGGTAGATGCTCTAACACCACCATCAAGTTTTGAAAATATCTTTGCTCTCACTCAAATGTTGGGTTTTCCTTTCACTGGTCACCCATCTTTATATGATCTTAGCATATCTGTGGTGGTAGTATTTCTGGTCTGATTCCCCTTGTTGTCACTTTTCACATTTTGAATCTACTTCATTTAAAAAGGAGCAATACCTTACTGAGACTGTTGGGTTTTCCTTTCACTGGTCACCCATCTTTATATGATCTTAGCATATCTGTGGTGGTAGTATTTCTGGTCTGATTCCCCTTGTCTGTTTTTACATTAGTCAACCACAACCAAAATTGTGTTCTTAAATTTTGTTTCCGCCTTTGTCAACATTTTACGATGCTCTGGCATGGCCAACTGTGGAGAAAGGTGTGTTGGGCAACTAGATTCATTTCTGATTTTCTTGCCAGGGGTGGTTCAATGTGAGGTACCTCATGTTGCAAATGGTGTGTTGAGTGGGGGTGCTCAACCCCCTTATACAGAGAAGTCTACAGTGACATTGCAGTGCAATACTGGATATGTTATGAAAGGAAGCTCTACCCAAATATGTGATAAAAATGGTAGATGGTCACCTGGACTTCCAGTATGTGAAGGTAAGTCATAAATGGAAAATAAATACTTAACATAGGTCTGAAAAGAAAAGTCATTCTGTAATGTTTCAACATGGTTTTATACCAATATTATCAAATCATTACCTGTGATTAGTTTAATCAGCTAATGTTTTTCCCTTTTCGTGAAATTTGTTGTAGGTATCTGTGGTTTCCTTTTTATATGAACTTAGCATTGTTGATAGAGAAGTTAAAATAAGTGAGGAAAATGGTTTAACACTTCATCAATTTTAAATACTTTTGCTCTCAGGAAAATTCCCTTTTATTCATATTTAACTGCTTCATTTATAAAGGAACACAAAGGTCATGAAAATGATAGATATATTGCCTTCGATATGAAGAAGTTTGGGGGTAACATTTAGATTGTGCGAGTTAGATACTTGATCATATCCACAGGCTGCATTGCAGGAAAGTTTTTTTTCACAGAGTATATCTGACAGATAAAAAAACAAAACGCAAAACAAAAATCAGCATTTACTACGCTGTGCAACATGTTACTTTTTTTTTCCATTGGTTCATAGGAAGAAGCGAGGGGCTCATCACTTAAACTAAACGGAGCAATCTGGTACATTTAGATTAGCATTCTACAAGTTTTGAACAGCAGAATGAATTAGTAATAGAGTTTCTATTACTAAACATGGAAGTTAACTACATGGAAGTTAATTTGACAGTGCTGATCATTTCTACCCAAATTATGATTCAGTACTATGATTAAAGTGAGTAACTAAGTAGGCCTATTTCCCCCTTCTTATGTTTTTTTGCGTTAGTGGATTAAAATTGCTACTATCCCAAAGAAACCAACGGGTAGAGTCCATGTTAATGTTTACCAACCGCTAAAAGCCCTACAGCATACTTGTCTCATGAAATGGTGCTGTTCATTTTGGTCTTTTATGATGTGATACAGAAACTGTTTTACTGTGTCAGAGATAACTGATGTAGTTGCTGCTCATATTAATTGCTCTAAAGTAAGTCTTGGGTGAAATGATGACGTGTGATATGCAGCAGCTATTCAAATTGACTGTGGCAGCTTAATTCGTTTCTGCATTTTTACATGGTTTTCTGCACAAATGCGATAAAGTGCTCTATATTGATATGTAAGCTATTGAGTTATCCAAACATTTAGTCATGTCTTTTTCTTTTGTTTATGCCTCTGTGCTGGCGATAGCCACAGCTGGAAGTGTTATGTTTTCGGGTTGTCCATGCAGTATGTCCATCTGTCTGTATGGTTCTTGTGTACGTGAGGTCTCGGAGAGTTTCTTCAAATTTGGCACAAGTTTCCACTTAGACTCAAACTGATTAGATTTCGGTGGTCAAAGGTCACTGTGGTATCACTTCAGTCCCATATCCTTGAATTTGACTGGTTGGCAGAGGCATACAACCATCAAGCGGTAGTTTTTATTTTTCCCCTTTGGATAATGTTCCAGTTGATGCTCTGGAGAATAGTACTATAGTACATCATGAAACCCCCCCCCCCGTTGTCCATGCCTTTTTTAAATCGTTGCTTTTCCTAGTTTCTCTAACACTGTGTTCTGTTTAAGGTTTGAACATGTGAGTTACTAGACTTGTAAACATGTAAATGGGTATATAACTAATTGGTCATAGAAACTGCAAGTTACTGAAAAAGTGGGAGTTATTTTAACAGGTCATTTGTTTTCTGTTCCACAGGTGTTGAGGGCCCACCTGGTAAGTGCTCAAAGTAATTGTTAGGGTACTTTTGTGGGTGTGTGGGTGTGTGGGTGTGTGTTTTGTCACAGCCTTCATGGTCAGTCTGAGAGAAACATAATTTCAATCCTCTGTATGTCTTGTTCATATAGTAGATTTAACAATAAAAATGACTTTGACTAAATCATTTCTGTCCTGTTCTCGGTCCTAATTTTTTTTTTTTTTATTTTATTTTTTGTTTTTTAATTTTTTTTTTTTTTTAGAAAAAGATCCTCACAACAACGCTGTGGCCTGGGGTGTTGGGAGTAAGTTTCAACTTTTATCTTTTAACAGTCAAACATGAATGTTTGTCCCAATAAGATCATAATGGCCAGTAAAGGACAGTATGGTTATAAATAAGTAAGACTGTGGAGTTCTGGAGAATATTCTTACTGTATGTGGTTCAGCAAATGGAAACCTAGTGATGCATTCAGCCAGTGGAACAAATGTGTGTAGTCATCACTGGACTTTTGTTTGTGTTTTTGTACATGATCATTTTTCTAGGGAATGTGCATAAACAGTTCAGTCATTTCTTAATTGCAATAATTTTACTGCCGTTTCATTTAAAAAAAATCTTTTGTGGATTATACACTTTCATGTAGGATGGTTTCAGGCATTGCATTTGTTGGCCTTATGGCCATGGTCTTTTTGTTAGTTTATTTCATCATCTTCAATCATTTCCAATTTTTTTCCTCATCACAGTATTTGTAGGCATCGTTGCCCTTGCCGGTGTTGGTTTTGGTGTATACTATCTACTCAAGAAAAAGAAGTCAAAACGGTAAAATGTTTTATTCAGCTGTGTGGACTAACCCTTATGGCTTTATCACTAATAGCTTCTACTGGTGTTTTTGTTTGCATCCCAGACAAAAGATCGCAGCCCTTGGTCCCTGTCCTGGCTTCGCTAATCTTTTGTTTATGTCTCAGAGCATTTTCATAATGTCTGATCTTTCTGTCTGTGTCATTAGCTGTTGCATGATGCAGTTGTAAGGCTCTTTGGGTCATTTTATTCTATACCACGGTATCAACGTTGTCACACTTCTTGTCCAAATTAGCTGACATTACTAGAAAATCACGTGGAAACCAGTTGCCTTAAGCTATTTAAGTTTTTACATGAGGTAAAACTAAAAATGTCAAGTTGTATTAACTCAAAACCTTAAATGGATCCAGTAGACAACTCAAGTTTACATTACTAGTCTGTACTCGGTTTACTTTGGTTCACATTAACAGTGTTGGTCTCTACAGCAAATCCTTTGAGTGAATGTGAAATTGTAAATTGACTCACGTTTGGTCACATGGACACTCACTGCAAGCAGGTTATTCTTTTCCATTTCTCCAGTTTTAACAGCCAGTTCTTCATTTGACATGATGAACTTAGCAGCTGCAGCTTTTGGAAGCACTTTGTACAAACATCAGTACAAAGCCAGATGCAAGGCTGCCCCATGTGACCTTGTTAAAGAGTGTAGTAAGTGTAAGGGGTAGGGACTGAATTCAGTACTAACCATCATGGTTTGCACCGTTTTCATTATTATGAAAAGAAACAACTATGACTTTAACTTGGCCTCTTTTACAAAGGCAGCATGTTTCCACCAGGAATGGGCTCTTAAAAATACAAATGGAAGAGTTTCTGAAGTGTTTGAACTCTCCAGCAAATGCATGCTGGGAAGTACATACAGAAACTTAACATACCAAGTTATATTAGCGTAACATGATCATTGCATTGCATATTTCAGCTGAGTAGTGCAAACCACTAATCTGATTAAGCAATGAGAAGGTTTTTTTTTTTTTTTTTACACAAAGAATAATTAATGATCACTCAAAGGTTTAATTAAAACCAAAATCTGGGTTTACAGTGCATAAGCAGGCACTGTAATACAGTTGCTTACATGTTTGCTGCAGAATTCATCTGTGTGAAAACTACACACAAGGCAAACAAGACAACACTTGGAGATCGATATCTCAGTTCTATGTCAATACCTTTTTTCAAAATGAGACGCATACACACTTTGAATCTCTCTTTCACAGCAGCAACAACACACTGATAAACTTCATGTGTAAGCAAACTGTTAAGCCCTCAGAACACTCTCCTGTGCAGATCTGTAGGTCACTCAGTAGAAGAGCTCTGACCTCAGTGAGATGTGGTGGTTTAGTTGTATTTTGACAAACACATTCAGATGCAGCTTATAAATCATGTTGAAGTATGAATGATGAGGTTGGCGCTGGTCAGATTATTTGAAAAGAATACCTTTTCTTTTTTCATGAATGTTAAAACTTTGTTGTATTTTTTTATTTTCTCCTATTCTGTTGTCACACAAATTAGTTCATGACCAAGGAGGGAACATAGATTCCTGTAATAAAAGGGCAGAAATTATGTTTACATCGTCTGATGTGTCACCCATCCTCCCAAGGTGGGTTTTAAAGGATGACCAGAACTGGCAACAGATTATTTTATTTTTTTGGCAGAACAGATAAGGATAAATGGAAATTGTCATTTACAAACTGAACTGTGCTTCATGGGTAAACAGAAGGCAGATAATGTCTTCATCAGCTCAAGTGCTGTTCAGTTGAAATACATAGTGACAGTAGTTTGAGTGAACTTGCTTTTCGTGGTTCACTGATGTTTTACATTGACTAATTTTTAATCTGCAAAATGGGAAGTAGTGGTTCCTCATATCTGTGTCAATGTTTGTCAGGAAACACCTTTCGTTTCCTTGGGACAGAGTTAGTTGTGTGTAGCAGAGTGTCTTCAAAATCATGCAATTGGTAAATCCAGTCACAGCTGAAGTTGTGAAGGCATTTAAGCTTCCCAACTTAGTCTTATCTTTAAGATCAGTCAGTGAAAGATATGTTACAACAGAGCATTTGCTGCTATTCTAGGCATATTTTTAATGGAGAAATGGTTTTTAATATTTTTTATTTTACTTAAAAAAAACATGAAGACCCCGTTTAATGTTTATATTGCTTTAATCTGTTTCCCGTCATTAATTTAATTTCAAATGTTGAACAAAAAGCCAAATTTTATGAATATGAAACGGCTTTTTGAGGTTTTGTTTTAGTTTGACAGCTGAAAACAAACTCCACTTGCAATAATGACAGTGTGTCCTTGATGCTGTGGTGACCTGTTGATTTATTTTTTTTTTGTCTCAAATCAACAGGTAGTAGTTTGCATCACAAAAAAAACACCCACACAGATTTATGTATTTATTTTTTTTCAAGAGGTTGATGGGTGGCAGCAGACAGGGTGGGTGTGTGTTTGTGTGCAGCATATTTTTTTTGTAGAAGGGTGGTCTGTAGACCTGTGGGTGATGGTTGTGTTTCTTTGGTCTTCTTTAAGTTCTAATACAGTTGAAGTCAGATGTTTACATACACTTGGGTTAATCCTTTTTTTTTTTTTTTTTTTTTCCTTAACCACTTTATCCATGTCATCTTAACAAACTCTCATCTTGGCAAGTCGGTCAGGATGTATTTTATGCCTGTAAATTTTGTTTGTGCTTGTTTACAGATTAATTAACTATATCAGTTTCAGTGGGTGAAGTTTACATGCACTCAGTCGACTGCGCCTCTAAACAGGCTGGAGGATTCCAGAAAATTGTCATGGTTTTTGAAGCTTCTGATAGTCTAAACGAGTTAGCAGGTGCTGCACCCGTGGGTGTATTTTAAGGCCCATCTCTAAACTTCGGACCCACTGAGAAATAAAAGCTGACATAAATTTTTCTTTACAGTTATTCTGACATTTCACATTTTTTAAAATAGTGATCCTAACTGACCTAAGACAGGGAATGTTGATAGGCTTAAATGTCAGGAGTTGTGGAAAAACTGAGTTTATATACACTTTAGCCAAGTACGTTTAAACTTCTGACTTCAACTGTCACTCCCTGACTGTCTGGTCACACAAAAGAAGTGATTGTTAACCAGTCATGGTTGGGTTGGGCCACTGGATCTCAGAAAGACTAAGCATAACAGTGAAGCTACAAAAGGTGGAGAGAAAGTAGCGCTCGTGGTAAGAAGATGGACCGCTAAGCAAACTTGAATTCAGTGATGTCAAACAGAGATAATCAAGTGATGAACAAGAATAATGTGAGAATGTAGGCAGACTCTTTGTTCTTTCGCCTTACCCTGGACTGCAAACTCCCATGTCTGACAACAGCCAGGGTTACTTCACTTTAAACCCTTCAGTTAATTATTTCCTTCTTTCACAGTTTTTACATTTTGTCTGCAAATGTCTCATTCACTCTTCTTTGTTTCTTTTTCTGTAGTAACCCTCATCGTTCTGATGGTCCATTATAACTGGATGTAAAGCTGACTGGTTGGCGAGGAATGAACTGACTCCTGGCCTCCATGTGCATGGCACAGGCTTATGAAGCCTCCTGAAAATGAAGTTTCTGAATGCTGGTCTGAGATTCAGAAACCTCAGCAAAGTAATTTCAATACTCAACCTACAGTATGCTTGGATTAATTGACAAACATATACCTTTGATAAACCAGTCCTGCTTTTTATTCTGTTCTCCATAATTCACTTCTGAAGTTTGGGATACCGTCCTTTTGGCTTTGCAACATCACAACACTTTTCTTCTGTAATCATGATGGAGTGAGATTCTGTGTTTATCAGAAAAGCTTGAACTCTGTATTGATTTTAAAACTTTGCACTAAGTCATAGAGCACAGCTCAGCTACACCAATGTATTAAAGTAACTGAAGAATAAATAGTTGACTTTAAATACTGAAGTTAGGAATAAATCATTTTTTAAAATCACACTGGATACACAAGTACTGAGGTCTATCAGAAACTACAATGCCTACCAAAACTCTTATTTATGTAAAAGAGTGGGCTATAAACCATCCTACAATTGTGGAAATTCAACTTGTACCATTACACAGAAACAATGTGATCCAGTGTCTGGACATAAGGAATGTTCCCTCTGCCTTAATGCCAAGTGTTGAGCTGGCTGTGTGTTATTTGCTTTGTGTTTGCCTGTGAATTGCATAAATGTCAATCCACTTATGTTGGAGTAGGTCAGTGAAGGTTCCATAGTGGGCCTACCTTAAATGTAAACTAAATATGTGTAATTTGTGTAATGTTGGCACATTGTTTGTGTCCTGTAGCCACACCAAAATTTAGTTGAAGCAATTTCCTCTGACAAAGAAATTGAAATCCAAGTTTAAGTCCTGTAAATTGTTTTTGTGAATTTCTCATTTCCAGAGTAGTTTTCACTGTAATATTAGTTGACCCCAGACTGTTCTGAATATGACGAATACTTAAGAGTGTTAGGACACAGGTGTTGTCTAATTAAACAAAGATGTACAGAATGTGATCTCAAATTTTTGCACTTGCTTGGCTTTTAGTTATTAAAATAAAAGGTTTCAGAACAACAGTAGGGTTTTGTATTGCTTTGAAAAAAGTGTAAAACCATATATATACATATACAGTGGGTACGGAAAGTATTCAGACCCCCTTAAATTTTTCACTCTTTGTTATATTGCAGCCATATGCTAAAATCATTTAAGTTCATTTTTTTCCTCATTAATGTACACACAGCACCCCATATTGACAGAAAAACACAATTGTTGACATTTTTGCAGATTTATTAAAAAAGAAAAACTGAAATATCACATGGTCATAAGTATTCAGACCCTTTGCTCAGTATTTAGTAGAAGCACCCTTTTGAGCTAATACAGCCATGAGTCTTTTTGGGAATGATGCAACAAGTTTTTCACA